ATCCTGCAAGGCACCCCTGGGCTCCTCTGCCAGCTCTACCTGCTTGCTGGCAGATGGCTGCCATCAAGCTCAAGCAAGGTGCTTCCCTTCACCTGTGACTAAGAGGTTGCTAAGACTTACTCATGCTTTCCTGCTTGTATCCGCAACAGTCCACAGGAAGTAGTCCTACTGAGTGACCACTGAAAGTCACTTGCCAGCTGTGTCCTGGCTTTTCTAGTAGTCAGCCATGGTGGCTGAGTCACTGGGGCCACCTTTATGCTCTGACAAATTAATGCAAGCCTAATAATGTAGAGACTCCAAGTTATCGGATAACTGCCTTCAAAAGCCCCAAACCAAGCTCACCTGTCAGCCCCAGCACAGGACAACACCTTGTTAATGCAGACGACGTGGAAGGGATGGAGCCGCACTCAGATATGAAAGCCATCTTTGCCACAACTTTTCAACATGTACTTATTGGCACAAATCTGGGCAGCCTCCAGGGCCAGGTAGAGGTGAAGGAAAGCAGCAAAGCCAGAGAAGACAGTAGAGAAACATCCACCGTGACCATCTCCAGCTTGGGAATGTGTTGGTTGAGTTTTGTGAAAAGGCTCAAACTCCCAATACCAGTGCAGTGCATGCAAATGGGGCTGAGGGAGCAGGAGGACAACTGGGGGTGATTCAGAGAATCCGGCCTTACCTTCAGAGGAGAGCTGCTCATATTCATCCAATACCATGTGGCCACAGAGGGGAAACTCATCCACTTTTGCTTTCTTCTGCCCCAGGTCAAAGATGCGAATCTTGGCATCTAAAAAGGATTGGGTACGTGTGCAGGGGGTGTCGCAGACGGATGCTGGGTCAGTAGGGCCAAGCTAGTGCAGCAGCTCTTCCACTACTTACCAGGGACACCTTGGCAGAAGCGGGACTTTGGGGACGGATTGTTCTGACAATACTGGCAACTGCAGGGGAGTGGAAAAACCCAGGTCAGGTGAGGTTCACAGAAAACTCAACCATCAACCCAAACGAGGGAATGCATGTCCACTTCTAAGCTGCTTCCATTCAGGGAAATGAGCTCCAAAGCTTCGCTGCTGCAGCAGAGAGCGCCCGAGTAGAAACATAAAAGCCACCTTTTTCCGTTACTTCATCTTACACTTCCTGGAAAGTAAACACTTTGCAACAAGTTTTCTTAGTTAAAAATGCTCTCTCAGACACTGTGTACTACAAATTCACTGCATTATCATTCCACAGCTCAGGTCACCCAACTGACCACTTCCACGTCCGGGAAGGCACGCGGCAGGTCGCCCGGAAATAAGACAGGGAAAGCACACAAAGGCCCCGAGAGGGTATTTAGCGCCCGAAAATGCGGCGAGCTTGCAGGACAGAGGGAGAGAGATGAGGGAAACTTACACCGACACTGGAATGAAGGAACAGACAATAATACTTAAGACTGAAAAGAACCGGGCGATGTGAGGCAAAACATAGGGTCAGTTCCCAAAACAGGCAGCCCTGGGGGGCGGGGGGGGGGGCTCCGCCTGACAGGTACTTTCAGGGCCCAAAAATAGTTCTTTCCCCGATATTTCCCAGCCTTTAAAGTACATGGATGCAAAACTCACCAACGGGCGGGGCGGCGGCCCATAGCGACACCAGGATCTTCAGTGGCTGCAACGAAGGAGAGAGTCGGAATGGAAGACGAGAACAAGCCTAAAACCAGGGGTCAGAACCTGCAAGGCATGACCAGATACCACAAGCGTGCTCACTCACGGTGCGGAAGGAAAAGAGGCGCTCCTAGCTGGGCGCGGTGGCTCACGCCTGTAATCCAGCACTTTGGGAGGCCGAGACGGGTGAATCACGAGGTCAAGAGATCGAGACCATCCTGGGCAACATGGTGAAACCCCGTCTCTACTAAAAACAAGAAAAATTAGCTGGGCATGGTGGCGCGTGCCTGTAGTCCCAGCTCTCAGGAGGCTGAGGCAGGAGAATTGCCTGAACCCAGGAGGCGGAGGTGGCGGTGAGCCGGGATAGCGCCATTGCACTCCAGCCTGGGTAACAAGAACGAAACTCCGTCTCAAAAACCGGAGCAGAGCGCCGGCTGCGCTGCACCGCGTGAGGGAGGGGGCGTGCCTACCGTGGGCCCACGGGAGGGAGGGGTCGGTGCTGGGGACAGGAAACCGCCCCAGCGCGGAAATGCCCACGGCCGCGCCCTCCCGCGCGCACCATTGGGCAGCAGGGGCGTCCGTCAAAGGCGAGGGGCGGGAATTCCGTTCAATCTGAGCATGGTCATTGGCGACGACAGGCGAAGAGGAGGCTGGATAGGCGGGGAGGGGCGGAGCTTCCGGCGGGCGCCTGGAGGCTGAGAGGAGCGACGGATTCAGAGGCGGGGAGCGAGGCAGCTGTGGGCTCCGGCGGGCGGAGGCGAGGGCGATCCCGCTCCCCCTCGGCTCCGCCTTCCGCACCTGCGGGTCCTCGGGCCAGCCCTGCGGGGCAGGCGGGAAGTCCCTTTCTGGTGTAGGCCGGTGGTCACTGTCCTCCCCCGGGGACTCCCCGAGGTCAGGGCCTGGGAAGCCCCGTGAGCCGCTCTCGCCTGGGCGCCGCAGAGGGGCCGCCCCGCCCTTCCCACTCCACTGTGCTCTGGAAGCGCCTCGGGGCGCGTCTGCGGGGTCCTGGGGAAGCAGCGCCGACCCCACCCGCCCACCGCGCAGCGTCCAGGGAGAGGTGGGCAGAGCGGGCCCAGTCAGGCGTCCTGGGGGAGGTGGCGTCTGGAGGTGTCTGTGCACCATTCCGCGGGTGGCGCGCGGTGGGGTAACAAAGTCTTCCCCGTCCCTTGACAGCCGTGGCCGCCGGGGAGGGAATCCTGCTCTGCTGCGGGCGGCCGTGGGCTGGGGCGCTTCCCGCCAGACTGGCTCCTCGGGGAGGTGGGGAAGGCGAGCCCCGCAGAAAAGGCGGTGGCTTCCCTCGACCGAGCCATCCCTCCGACCGGTCTTCCCGCGGGAGGGTTCCTGGGAACACCCGCAGGGCCGGTTCCCGCCCCATGGGACTGCGGGGCCCCGCCCAGGGTTTCCGGGAAAGCCCCGCGTTTCCCGCCATCCTTCCCGCGCCAGGAGGGTTCCCAGCTGCTGGTGATGCTGCCCAGGCGGCTCCCCCCAGCGCCACCACCCACCTGGGAGCTGGCCACTGGGTTTGGCCCGTCTGCTCTGGTTCCTCTTGGCTGGGCTCCGAGGCCTGGCGTCACTTCCCGTCTCCGCCGCGGCTCTGGCGACCCTGCTGGGTGTCTTTGCCCCGAGGGGATTGCATCCTGGTGGAGAAGACACTTCCCTCCCTCTCCCTTCCTCTCCTCCGCCCGCTTTGGCTCCCTTGTCCTTGCACGCTGCCTTGTCCACTCGTGTGTCTGGCCCTGTGTGTGTATGTGTGTGACCGACGCGAGCCCTTAGTCACCTCTTGCTACTGTTTTTTCCCATGTTATCACTTGTCTCTTGACTGTGTGGTCTGCGGGTTGTGCTTGGTCAGACGGGATTTTAGTTGTCGTGAAGCTCCAGGCTTTCCTGACGGCTTCTGGGGGTTCTTGTTCGTTTGTTTCCTTCTGGCTCACACCGTGTCTTGCCCCCTGGATGCTGGGCACCGGTTCCGACTGCTGGGTAACAGGTGACCCCACGTTTTGGTCCTTCCCCACCTGGTGCTCCTCATCCCCCAGGGTTCTGAGGGACCCGCTCTGGGAGGGCTCTCGGGGAGCCAGGGACTATGGCCCAGGGTCCCTCTCAGGCTGCGGTGAAGGTGTCCACTGGGGCCCAGCCATCCTATCTGACTGACTGAAGAGGCTGTGGCAGGAGGCCTCAGCCCCCCGCCCTCCTCACAGGGCTGCCGGGCTTCCTGCAGACCTGCAATCCAATCGAACCAGCAGGGGAGGGCGCCCCAGACCCAGCCACAATCTGTGTACTACCTGGTATCCTAAGTGACTCGCCTCACCTCTCTCCTCTGTGGTTTTCAGTGGTCTCACAGGTCCACCCTGGAGCATGCTGGAGAGAGAGGGCGTCATGCTCAGGGTGGAGGCTGTTCCTGCGTGCTGTGAGTCAGAAGCGCCCTTGCACGTGTAGACCTGTGTCGGCTGCTGGAAGCCCCGAGAGGAAGGGCCGCCTCAAGAGAGTGTCCTTGGTGTCGCCAGGAGCAGCAGGCCACCTCCTGGGGCTGACACTGGCCGGGGCCTGCATTTCTGAGGGCGGAGCATGCTTTGACATCCTGAAAAGATTGCAACACCCATCACAGAGAACCCCGAGAAGGGAGACTCTGCCACAGAGACCCCGTGTGTCCCACAGGGGCTGCGTCGTGTGCTCTCTGGCCCTTCATGGAAGTCTTTCCCAGCACTGGTCCAGGAGTCCCGGTCCTACATCCCCAGGAGCCAGCGGGAGGCTTGTGGTCACTGCAGCCGCTTCTGCACGGTGTGAGTGCCCCACGCCAGCCTGGGTGGCAGGATGTGCCCCGCACCTCCAACACCCTCCTCCTCTCTGCCCTAGGTGGGGCGACCTCGCTAGACAGAGGAGGCCTCTCCTTTCCCCATGCAGCCCTGAAGGGGAGGGGCTGGGGCAGGGAGGGGTGTGTAGGGTTGCCAGATCCTGGGCTGGGGGGGTGGGGGCAGCCCCTGGCCTTGGGGGTGGGATATTGAGAGCTGGGTGGGTTCCGGAAGGGGCCCCGGGAGGCCCTTGGCATCTCGTTTCCCTGGAGACGCACCCCATCCTTCTCCCTGGGACTGGCAGGTGACTTTCTGATGATGCTCTCACTCTCTCGGTGGCTCTGAATTTGTCACTGAGGTTCTGTGGGCAGCGAGTGTTTTTCCTGTTGGCCGCCATCGCCTCTGGGCAATACAGGGACCCTTGGTGACAGCTCCTGGCCCCTTCCAAAGCCGCCTGGCTCTCCTTGAACTGGAGGAGAGCAGGTTGCCGGGCCTTCCCTGAGGAATGTGTTCCTGGTAGGTGGGGACACCACTGTCCCCAGGGGTGTTGGGTAGAGGGTCCTGGGGTGCCTCAGGGGGCCCCCCTGAACCCCCATGCTCCTGGGCCATCTGCCTGCTGGTTGTCCTCTGTGACCCCTCTCTCCCTTGAGCTGAGGCACTGGCCTGGTGCCCCGAGAAGGAACAGTGAGGAGGGCCGACTCTCCCTGCTGTGGGGGCCTTGGGGGCCTGGACGGGGACTGCATCCTCCCTCCCCCGGCTGCCCAGCGCCCTCGCTCAGGGAATGCTCTTCCAGCAGCCTGTTTCACAGATGGGCATGGTCACGACAGCAGCCAGACCCTGTCCTGGGCCGTGCAGCCACCTGGATGGATCGGCGCCCTCCTGGACTTACTGGCTCCATTGAGGGTCCCAAAGGAGCTGCCCCCGAGCACCCTGGGGGACTCCAGACCCCTCAGGCCTTGGCAGCTACCAACAGCCCAGGCAGGACCCAGGGGCTTCTGGGCAAAGAGCAGCCACTCCCTGGCTCGTGAGCCCAGGGCCTCTCCAGCCGTCCCCTGTCGGGGAGCCTCCACCACTCCTGCTCTGGATCAAGGTCCTGCCCCCAGGGAGAGCTGGTGCCTTCGGGGACCGGGCCCTGGTTGCAGTTGGAGAGTGCGCCCAGGTACTGCACTCCTCTTGGCTGCTGCCCTGCCTCCTGGGGGGCCTCCCCAGACCCCCAGCCTCTGGCCTAGGGGGTGTCTTGGTTTGGGAGTGCCCTGCCCTGGACACTGTGTCTGCGGAGGATACATGATTGCCCTTTCTTGGGGTCCAGGCACAGGGTGAGGGGCACTCGGCCCCACCACCTATGTCTCTGGGAGCCCTGGCTGGGTACAGCACCTCTTCAGAGAGATCCTGTCTCGGGCCTGCCCCCCCATGCAGCTTGGGGCCCCGGTCAGTCACCTCCTAGCCACCACCTGCTGGTGTCCTAGCCTCAGCTGGGCCCTGCAAGCTTTCTGTGTGCCTGGGACACCCAGCCCCTCTGCAGGTGTTGTCAAACACCCCCACAGTAATGCCTGGGGGCCTCTCTGGGCCTTTGTTAGTCGCCTGCTTCCTGTCCTCCTCGGCCCTTGGTTGGGGGGTACCCTGTCTGCTTGGTTTCCAGCCTGAGCCCCTCCCTGTGCTGGGCCAGTCCCCTAAGCTTCCCAGGCAGATTCCCAGGTCCGCCTGGAGGAGCCCAGAGCCCTGGAGTGGAGCCCAGGCCTCCCTGCGCTAGGGACCACACCGGAACCCAGAGGGACTCCTGGCCAGGGTTCCCAGCAGTGACTGAGTGCTGGACTCAATCCCTGGCTGTAGATTTCAGGGAGTCCCGCTCTGAGGGGCTATTGCTTCCCTTTCCTCTCCAGGCTCCCTCCCAGTTTCCTGGGAGAGTGGGGATGGGGCTGTCAGAAGGCAGAAGGGAAGGTTGGGGTGCCAGGGGTGTGGCTGGGGTGAGGGAAGGTCAGCTGGGCTACCCCCCTCCCTGCCCTCCTTGGACTCAGTCCAGACACATCCTCCAGATTGGGGCCTGTGCACCCTTCATGTTCTCCTAGTAGTCTGGCGGGTCCTCCTGAGTCTTCCTCTGTGGCTGGGTCCGCAGGCCATAAGCCCCAGCAGGGTGGGGGCCTGTGCTCTTGTTTTTGCTCCTACTTGCCCGGCCTCCCTGGGGAGGCCCCTGGCCAGGACCATGCCGATCACTTTCCCTGCTGCCTGCCTGCCTGGGTGGCCTCCAGCTCACTGCCCCGTGAGGCCTGTGACCTCCCGCCAGGGCAGGCCCCAGGAGCCTGGATCCCCCCAGTTTGTCTTCCACCCTTGCCTCCCCACATGTGTCCCTCCAGCCTGGGTATCATCTAGAGGGTTGGGGGATGGGCACCCCTGGTTCACCTAGCCCAGCCCCAGGGTGGTTCTCCCGGTGGCCCTGCCAGGCATGGGCTTGGGAGAGGATGCGATGGAGCCGCCACAAGGAGGGGGCAGGAGACTCCAGGTGACCCAGGGCAGGAGGGGGCACCCCAGAGGTTCAGAGTCTGAGCACACCATGGGCTGAGCCGACAGGTTGGGACCTCAGGGGGACCTGTCATCCTGCCCACTGGCACTGGATCTTTCTGGGCCTGGCTCTGCTGCCTCCCACCCCCATTCAGCTAGTGGCTTCTAGAGGCTTCCAGAGCATGCTTGGCCCCTTTGCCTCTATGCCATTGGGCCCAGTGGGAGCAGTAGAGTGTCTGGGGCTGGGGGTGGGACTAACACTCTCTGTGTCTTGCTTGCTCGTGTCTCCCAGTGAGTGGACGCCCTGAGCCTGGGGCCAGCAGCCCAGCCTCAATCAGAAATAAAAGTAACGATTCTGCCTGAGCTGCTGCTGCTCTTTCTACTCTGCCCCCTCATTAGGGATCAAGGAGGGCACACAGGGTGCTGAGCTCTCAGGAGGCCTGGGATTGACGTGTGGGATGGCTACAGGCTGTGGCCTGGTCCTCTCCTTCCCCTCGCTCATGTGCCTGGCCTTGGGCTGTGTGCTCTGAGGTCATGGGGACTTTGTGTGAGATGCTGTGGAGCTGAGGGAGGGCCTGGCATGGAAGCTGGGCCTTGCCCCCGAGAGCCTTAGCGCCTGGCCTTTGTCTGCAGATGCTGGGATGGTGATATCCTTGTCAGGGGTTTGAACAAGGGCCAAAGCCACCTGCAGTCCTTGGCCCAGGAAACAGGCAGCTTTGTGGGCTGCAGTGGGGATGTCCAAACAGCACGCAGGCGCACCAGGAGCCAGGACGGCTTGGGATGTGTTTGGGGCAGTCTTCAGTCAGAGACACAGGTTGGTGTGGGAGTCCATGGCAGGGGCACAGTTGAGTTGTGTTCAGCAGCGGGCCCAGGGCACCTGGGATTGGCTGCAGGACAGAGTGGGTGGGGCTAAGAGGTGGCCACAGTGCCAGTCATTGGGCAGGTGCCAACAGCTTGGCCCCAGGCTCACCTGTGACTTTGGCTTTGAAGGGGCTGCTCCCAATGTGGTAGGGCGCCATACTTGATGGAGATTGCCAGGTGCCATGGGGGTAATGGTGACACGGTAGCCCTCAGGGCACTTCTGGCAATCCATCTTCACCTTGGAGGGGCCGTCAGTGGTCACCGAGAGGGCACCAGCTCCCGCATTGCTCATGTTCATGATGAACTCAGCTGGGCTCCCTGGGAGCACAGAGGTCAGGCAGAACCAGACTGGCCTGCCTCCCCATCCCTGGCCACCCAGCACAGGCTTGTCACCTCCAGATGCCTCCTGTTATCGCCCAGAGCTTGGAGGCAGGGTCCACAGACTCAACTGTGCAGTCTCCATAGGCAGACACCAAGCCTGGGTCTTCTCCATGCCCAGGCTCCCCGGCTCGGATCTTGAAGGGGCTTCCAGGATGTGGGTGCCATTGAACTTGACATCAATCAGGTAAACGCCATTCTCCTGAGTGATAAAGCACACAGCATACTTATCTGAGGAGCAGAGAGCCATGCTGTGGGCCTGGGGCCCCTCCTCAAACCAGCAAAATCTGTGAGGAACAGCCTCAACCCTCACCCTTCCCATTTTGCCGGCCCATCAGTGAGCCCAGCAGCTCAGTGGGGCCCACTGTTTCTTCTGGTGCCATGCTGGACACCTGCACCCTGCAGCAGACTTCCTGAGGCCCGAAGCTTTAGAAACTCAAGCCACTCGCTGTCAGGGATCATTGGGACAGAAACCTTAGGCAAGCCACACCCAGGCCTCGCTGCCTCCTAAAGGTTACAGTGAACACCATCTGTGTGTTAACAGGCTCAGAGACAGGCAGGAACTTGCTTCAGGTCATGCAGCTGGGAAGGGCAGGACTAGGCTGTCAAACAAAGCCCACTGGGCTCCTCCTACCCCCAAGGTTGCCCTGGGCCTATCTGCAAGTCCTGTGGTTGCAGCTAAAGGGCCGGGCAGCACTGAGGCTGGACTCTGGGTCTGTCCCTGTGGAGAGAGTACTGCAGGCAGGAGGCCTTCCTAATGGCCATGACTGACAAGCCACATCGCTTGGGTCACCAATTGGGAAAGGATGGCCTGGCAAAGGCAGCCCAGGAGTTGGGGCCCCGTCTTGGCTGCTTACAGAAGCGGTACATTCCTTTTGTACTCTCAGCCTCCTTCCAGCCAGCAGGGCAGGGTGGCCGGGCAGGGACAGGGGCTCACCTTGGTCAATTTCTGTGGCACAGCACTCCTCCAGGGCTCCTGAGGGGCTGTGCACCTTGGCATCGATCACCCCTTTGGCCCCATTCAGGCTGACTGCAAAAGAGGCTGGCTGGTTGACCTTTAGCCCTAACTCCGGGAAGCACAGCAGACATGGTTAGATGGGGGCTTGGGCCAGGGCAAGGGAGGAAGGAAGGCCCCCAGGAGCGAGAGGCCCGAGGTCGCACTTACCCATCTAGCGTCCAACTTGGTTTAAAGAGGGAGAGCCACTTATTTGCAAGAGGCAGCAAGCCACAGGCACAAGTCCGTGCCCCTACCCCTGCCCCCATGCTCTGCCATGGACACCCAGGTGGCAGGAAGGGAGGGCAGCCCCACCCTATGGGCAGCACCCAGCAGGCAGCACCCAGCCTTGGAAGGCTGTCCCTCTTTAAACCACAGCCCTGGTGCTCAAGGGGCACAGGCTGCTGTTCAAAGCCTTTAGACCTGAGACATGAGAAAAACTCCATGTGGTGGGCAGGATATTTCCTGCGGACCTCAAGTGTGGGCTGCACCCGGCTAAACCAGAGGCCTGGAACTCAAAGCTGGGCCAGGGGGGTCACTCGATATAGGGCCTAGGCCTGCTCTGTGGTGGCTCTGGTCTGTCCAGGCCCAGGAGCCCCAGGTGGGTGGTTTCTCTCGGTGCCTCACCTGAAGGCTAGAAACAGTGAGGCGGTGGGCGTCACCAGACGGAGAGGCCCCAGGCGCCACAAAGGGGCTGTCAGGGATGTGCTCCTCGTTGAACTTGACTGAGACTTTGTAGTCACCTGGGCAGGGAAAGGGCATAAGACCAGCTCAGCAGGGTGGCCCTGGGACCTCCAGGTGAAGGGTGGAGGCCAGGCAGAGCTATCTGTACAACCCCTGGGTCCAGTGCCCACCCCCAGGTCCCAACCCCATCTCGTCCAGCCAGTTCCCAGTACCTGGCTCCTGGACCACATAAGCCACACCACAGGAGCCATGCTTGCGGTCCTCAAAAGAGATCTCAGCCTTGCTGGGGCCCTCGACAGCAATGGCCAGGCCTCCAGCACCAGCTTCCCAGGTCCAGATATTGAATTCGGCTGTGGGAGAAGTGCATCCTCACTGAAGGCTGCTCCACCAACCTTGGTCCCCTCCAGGCATAGCCAAGGTAGGCATGCCTGCCAGCTCCTTCTTCCACCCCCAACCCCATCCCTGCCAATGCAGGAGAGCAAACGCTCAGGAGTGAGCAGGCCTACCTGGCACTCCAGCTTCAGCCCTCTCGAGGCCAGGGCCCCTAGCTCAGACCTTGTGGGCTCCCCCTTCCCCTAGGGGCCCCACAGCCAGGCACGTGCTGGCCCTTGTACTTGACGCTGACTGTGTGTGTGCCCATCTCAGCAGGAACAAAGGGGATGTAGTAGGTGTGGTTCTCCCTTCCACGATCTCGGCCTCATGACTCTTGCCTGATGGGCTGGTCACCTGGGCTGTCATATCCTGGATGCTGATTTCTGCAGGGTGGTGACAGTGGTGACAGGCTGGTGAGCAGCAGCCCTGGGCTCCACCCCTCCTCTTGGGACTGCCTGAGCCCCAGGCTCCCCACAGACCCTAGCAGGGATCTTCAGGCTGAGGTCACAATGACTGCCAATGTTGGCCACTGAAGGAGCCTGATGCCTGCATGTGATGCTCTCTTTCACCCGGCCCTCGCCTGTCACCACAGAGAAGGGGCTGCCTGTAGGAAAAAAGCACAGCCCATGCCCTCCAGTCACACACTGCCTCTGGGCCCTTGTGTGGTGAGGGGTGCTGCCAAGGCACTGCTGCACTCACCGTGATATTGATGATGTGCTTGCCAGGCTCTGTGGAGCAGTAGGTGACCCTGCTCGTCCCATCCTCCAGGTCCTCTGTGTTGATGTCTACCTTGCTGGGGCCCTCAATGGACAGGCTTAGACCACCAAAGCCTGGGGGATGGAGAACCCTGAGCTTGGGTGCCATGTACAATGTTCCTGCCCCAACTGGCGGGCAGCAACTGCCTACCTGCATCTCAGGTATCAATGATAAACTCTGCAGGCTCAAAGGTGTGGCCTTCATGGAGGCCCTGGCCAGAGACCCGAATGTGGCTGGCACCCCGATTTCTGACTGGCTGATCACCACCGGGATGGGGCTGCTGGCCACGTGTTGGCCATTTTTCTTCTTGTGCAACAGGTGCTCCCCTGTCTCCTTGGGCACAAATGAAATCCCTAGGCACCAGGAATGGCTGTCAGTCGGGGAAAGCGTGGGTCCCCACAGACTGCCTCCTTTCTAAAACTGCCCTCAGCCACTTACCAACAAGGCCATTATGCAGTCGCTTCAGCAAACAGGGCTCCTCTTACCCTGAGGGCGGGACCACGGTGGCCATCAGCAGGCTGAGGTCAGTTTCTGAGATGTTGATGGGGATGTCAGCGGCAGAGCCCACCTTTAGGTGAGACATCCGCATGGAGTCGTCACCTGGCATGGAACAGGGCTGCCATCACTGTGTCCAGCCATGGGAGACCATGCCCACCCTGCCACCTGTTTGTCACTGCTCCCAGTGCCACCCATCTGTGACCCGGACAGTGAAGGGGCTGCCTGGGATGTGCTGTTCATTGTACTTGACCAGATACTGTAGTCACCCAGCAGCATAGGCAGGTAGGAGACGCTGCACGTCCCATCCTGGTTGTCAGTGCAGCTGATTTCTGCTTTGGACAGGCCCTCGACGGCCAGAGACAGGCCCTCCGGAGAGAGCCGTGGGTAAGCATAGGAGCTGTGCTGGGGACACACCAGTTGGTAGAGGCCAGGGCAGCAGGATGGGGGTCCCATTTGGGAGTGTCCCGAGTCCAGCCCTTAACCTGGTGAGGGCATCCCAGGCACAGAGCTACTGCTCATCCTCTCCTGCATCCTTGGTGTTGACAGTGAACGTGGCGGGCTTGTTCACTACTCCGTGGGTGATGCCAGGCCCATAGGCAGTGACATGGCCACAGTTGACGCAATCCACGTAGAACTGCAAGGGGCTTCCTGAGGCAGGAAGAGGGGCCTTGTGGAATGGCAGCCTTGTGCATCCCCAGCCCCATCTCTCTGTGAGGTGGTGACAGAGCAGTGGTCAGAGGCAGGGCAGGCCCACGTGGGATGTGCATGTTGTCATAACGCATGTCCATCTCATGCAGGCCGGCCTCGCTGGGTGCATACCGCACGGTCATAGTGCTGTCTTTGTTGTCAGTGATGGCGGGCTGTGCCACCTTGCTGAGGGCATCTGAACCTCCCCTGTGGGGCAGCAGGGCTGAGGTTAGGGCAGCTTGTTGCATAACCTGGCCTCCTTGGCTCCCAGGGCTTCTTCCCGACCCCACTCACCTGTGATCTCACCCTTCTTGATGGTGAAAGGGATGACAAGGTCAAATGACCTCAGGCCAGTCACATCCAGCCCGTTGACACCCACCGGGGGCCTCTTTGGGGCCTGCAGTGGAGACGCAGGGTCTACGTGAGGGGCAGTGGGAGTATCTGGGGCCCCTCCTCACACCTGGTATGATAGGACCTCACAGAACACCCAGCTGGCCAGCCCAGTGTCCCTAGCTGGCCAGGCCATACCCAAGTCTGCTGGCCACCCTGGGTGTAGGTGTACTGTGGGGCCAGCTGCTGTAGTGGGGGCTGCACCGAGGGCTGGTCCCCAGCCAGAGCCTGCAGGGCAAAGCACAGAGCTGTAGAATCTGTTGTCACAGAGAGTCCCCAAGGGGATAGGCTAGGACCTGCCAAATCCCCCTCCTGTTCTACCCGCCTGTGCTTGCCACCAAAGTGCACGCAGATAACGTATTTGCCTGGCTGGGGGCTGTGTAGAAGCTGTCGAAAGTGCCATCCTCATTTTCCACCACATCCACATCTACCTCCGAGCCATCAGGCGTGCACATGGTACAGGTCACTTTGCCTGCTGCCTTCATGTCCACAGTGATCACCGTTTCTTCCCAATCCGGATGGTGGGGCCGATGCCAGCACCTGGGGGGGCAGGGTGGGACCCCGAAGGGGGGCCAGAGTATGAACTGGGGCTCAGGTTGTTCCCATCCACCTGCCACCCACACAGGCCTCTCCCTGCCACCACCAAGCATAGCCAGGCCACCAGGCCTCCTGTCCCACCCCGCCCCTCCAAGCTGGGATGACAAGTGGTTTCTCAGAAGGCAGGAAGGGTTCTTCTGACCACCTCAAGCGCCCACATGGGAGAGGCCCGACAGCGGCACCCAGGTACCTGGGAGGATGTTGGCAGCTCACCCAGCCACTCTCTTGCCTACTCAGCCTCACCAAGTACCACGGCCCACACTGCTGAATGCCAGCATCTGGCTGGGCACACGGCTGCCTGTGCCCCTGTGGCCTGACCCCGGCCCCCATTGCTATGTGTGGACGCAGTGAGGCAGAGTCCTGCTGCAGCATGGGGGGATGTTTTTTGCCTGCCCACCCCCCCAGGCCTGAAGGTGAAACCAAAGTTTCCTGACAACTGAGAAGGCTCGTGGTGAAAAGCAGCCCGGTGCAGGCAGGAGTGGGAGCGGGGAAGTGGGAGGCAGCAGGGTTAGCACCTGAGCAGCACAGCAGACTTGGCAAAGTGGGAGCAGCACCCAGGGAGATAGGGAACAGGAGGCCCAAGCTACAGGCACCACTGCTGGGTGGTGAGGGTACAGCAACTGAGCAGGCTCCAGGGCCCCGGAGTGCCCGAGGAAAGGGGAGGAACAGTGATGTTATGGGGGCTGTGAGGCCTATGAGGCCTGACAGTGAGTTGGCCCCGCAGCCTGGCCTTCTGCCAGGGAAGCAGCCAGGAGCACAAAACCCACTTGAGGGCCAAGTTTGAGGGGCCCTG